AAACCCGTTGAGATTTGGATTGATTGAATGGGATTATTGAATTTGTTGAGCTATCGAACGAAAACACTATGTTTGGATCTTGGGTTAAGGGGGAAAAAAAAAGTACTGTGATTTCTCATCTAGTTGAGAAAAGAAAAAAAATTGTGTTTTCTTACTATCATATTTTAGATTGATAAGAAAGCAAATCACGTGAGAGTGGGATTTGAGTGAGATTTCTTTTTATTCTTTTTATTTTAAGGGGTAATCACCAAATATCACAACTTTTGGTAACAAATCAAATGGTTAAAATAAGAGACTTCCCTTTCTCACACTTTTGTCTCCATTTCTCATCTACTAAACCCTCTGAACAAATGATAGAGTTTTCTCTTCTCATCAAAACTATCTGATCCAAACGAACTACAAATCCTACAAGTTTTTAAATTGTATAGTTATGGAACTCACCTTATTGGAATGATTTTATGTTAAATATTAATTGAAGTACATGACATTTTCTTTACACTCCCGAATCACAAAAAAAATGTGTTGTTTAACTTTATTAATTGAAATTATTCTCCTTTTCTTTTGTATACTTGATTTAACTAGTTGTTGGAGTAGTTAATTATTGAGCTATCAAACTAATCATCTTCCTCTTGATTACAGATCCAGAAGAATAGTGTGGTGGAAGTGGTGGAAGTTATTATTGGGATAGAGCGCTACGTGCAGAAGTTATTTTGAATTGTTTTGTTGAGACATTAATTTTAATTATAGAACTATTGTTTGCTTTGATAGAGGCAATTAATCTTTGTATGAGTCCGATTATGGAACTCTAGGTTTGGCATGCTCTAAACATTAAACTAGCTAAACTGAATTTGTGGATTGTTGTTGAGAGTTTTGGTATTATGGATTAAAGAATTCTTGATTGTGCGTTTATCTCTTGATTGCCATGATTATTTTGTGGAATGAAATTGATATGAGTTTCTCACCATCTCTTCTCTACATGCTCACAGGGTGCTGTAAGTCTTATTGGTGTGTGACATTGTCATGTGCCTAGCTTGGTTGGCTTTGAGGCGTGACAATTATTCTTTCTTTGTTTTTCAATGTTGTATTGTTATTTTTCTGACCTGATGCAAGAAAGGCAACAGAAAGGAACCATTATCATTAATTATGTGAAGGAGCAAACAAACATCAATTTCTAACTTAGACAATTAAGATTGGTTTGTTTGAAAGAAGAAGCACAAGACAAGAGAGTTGATGACTATTAGTCGCAAAGCTGCTCTAAAGAATGGCCTCTCCTATGTGCTTGCATCAAAATACTTGTCAATATCAGTAGTGACTTAGTTGCTTGCTTGCCCCTAAGACCCAACTCAACTAATTTTAGGTATCCCCTGGCTAAAATTTCTCACTCAATATGTTAGGCTTGCACAAGCTCTCTATTTGATCTGGTAATAAGAAGGGCAAGGAAGGTTTTGGCTTAAATTTCTTCAAATTTCATTGCCAACTAATCAACCATTGTTCATTCTACTTGGTCTGAAAGACTGGTGGTGCCTGAAAAATCATGGCAAAAAATTGTTGCAAGCTTAAGTTTTGGGGATTAAGAAACAATTGGAACATTGATTTCTTATCGAAAAATAATGGGTCCAATCATAAACAAAAGTATAGCAAGAGGTTTAGTTGCCTGTAATAATCAAAAGTCAGTTTGATCAATATGTACTTAATTAGCTATGTAAGCAGAGTTTCACAATGCTCTGCACATCAACAAAAACAGAGCAATGCTACAATTGGGAATTGGATGTGAACCTTTTTGTTCTTGTATGGTGACCCAACTTATGACCGACCAATAATATAACTTAAGACTTTCAGAGCACACGACCATATAAATTTAACTGAATAATGGTGAGTGATACACTTATATCGAATAGAGCACACAGAAATTATTATAATTACAGTGGATTATTATTAGGGTAAATTCCAAATACACTTTCTGAGTTTCAGAAATTACAAATATCCCTCCCCTTACAAATACATTTGATTACCCTCCAATAATGAAAGAAAATAACTATATTACCCTCACTCTCTTTATCCTTACTTTCTACTTTTTTCCATTCTTTCTCACTAGAACCAACACACTGGCCAGAGAGTGAGAGGAAGATAAAAAGAATTGGGTTAGGAAATGAGAAAGAGCCAAAGAGTGAAGGAAGAGAGGAAGGAGGAAGGAGGCGGTTGGGTTATGGTGTAACATTATTTTTATTTTGGTGCAGAGACAAGAATATTGAGAGTTAAATAAATATTTTAATAAATAAAATCATTGACATTAGCAAATATACTTAATTGACCTAATGGTTGACTAACAGAAGGGATATTCGTCATGTAATTTGAAGATAATCTGCATATTGCATATATTTATATATCAAGAGTGGACAGTAAAGCTTTTATTGCTGTGGATGATCACAAGATATGGTGAGAGTTTGTAGCATCAATGGCGGGTGGTGTTGGAATTGGTGTGTTGATGAAGTAGAGAGAGAAGGGGGTGTGAAGGTGAAGAGCGAAGAGGGAGACGTTGAGGGAGGTTAATTTCCTAAACCAGAGGGAGAAACGTTGAGGGAGGTATTTGTAATTATATATAATATAGCTAGCAAAATGGTTCCAGTTTTCATGATGACTGGTTATTTCTCTTTTGTTTTCAACACATTGTTCTCTGTTTTTCCGCAATCATTTTTGGTGGCTAGTTTAAGGTAGGCTAAAACCTGTCTGTTGTGTATATATATATAATATGGACATATCTATTGCCATCTTCATTTTCCACAAATCAGTTATATTATATTCATGGGGCAGGTAGAACATATGTTTCTTTGTATGTTACTTACAAGCTTATTTTATTCACTTTAGTTGATTTGTACCTCAAACTATGCTGGGTACGGCAAAAGCAAAGTCCAGCCATCTTCATCTTGTTTGTTTGGTTTCCAGAACTTAAGTGGCATCAGTCTCCAAATTAGCATAAGGTGAGTTTTTGGGATTCATAAGATTCAGTTGTTCTTTGTTATTCCTGTTGTTGTTGCTGTTGTTGTTTCTTTTTTTTTTTTTTCTTTGTTTTTCGTTTTTTTTTTTTTTTTTTTTGGGTTATTGAGGTTGGGCCCTCAGTCAGGGTTTTTTGGAGAAGATCTTCAAAGGAAGTGAGCCAAGCTTTTATGGATACCCTGTCTAGTCATTATATTAAAGATATTTGCTGTGAAATTAGGTTTTTTCACCCAATCAAGTCCCCTAGTAAGTGCATAATATCTTAAATTCAAATGATGTACCTCTGGAAATTATGCAACTTCCCCTCAAGACCCCCAAGATTTGGCCAACGATGCTCTAAAAAAAGAATCTTGTGATGAGCATCTATTTGAGTAGATCATTTCCAAGATCTAATTCAAGTTTTTTCTTATGTAGTGGAAAGCCTTAAAATTTGAAGTTTCATGCTTAATGGAGGAAATGTTTTTGGTGGATGCAAGACTTGGAACCCCCATAATTTGTATTGCTAGATGAGCCTATAGGAGTGCCAATCTACCAAGCCACCAGATTTCAGAATAAAGCATGATCTAATAATTACAAAATGTTGGACACTGGACAAAGGATTTAAGGACAGAGTATTCCATGTTCTAGAATTTATCTATTTAGTTTTAGTTGAGTAGACAAAGGACCCAGGTCCATAATAATTGATGGTTGAGCTGATATATATAACAGCAAGCAATTGCTCTTGCTTTAATTTTCCAAAAACTAAGAAGTAAAACATAAATATATTACCAAGCTAGAGAATTCAGCAGTAAGCTTCCAGCAGTAAAATATTATTCTTCTTAGACTGTCACTTGTGCCTTCTTTCAACTAAAATGGAGATGGAGTGGAGAAGGAGTGGAGTTCGAGACATGAACATGCTTTCGTAGGTGGTGGGAGTGGGACTTGTTGCCATTTCTCTCTGCCTCTCTCCCTCTATATATACATGTGTGTGTGTGTGTGTGCCTTGGTATTTGTTTTTTCTTTTGTCAAACAAAAAAAAAAAACTGAACTTTTTCAACTCATGTTCTTGGAGTATGTTGCCTCTGTGATTGTTTTTAGGCAAATAATTGAGGCAAGTTCAATTCTGTGTCTAGAAACTTATTTTTATATCTGAAAACTCAGTCTCTAAAAATAGTGTGCAATGTACTAGCTAGGGAATTAGTTTCAGCAAAATGGTTCTTAAAAAAATTAAAATTAAAAATTCTGCAAAGTTGCTAGTTTTTCCTGGAGATGTCTGAACGAAGGCATTCCGCTTGCATTCACTTTTAGTAAAATGCAGCAAATAGCAACATAAAATATGTTATTAATAGTTGGCTCTTGGAGGTTTGTGGGTTTAGACGTAGAATGGTTCCAAACTCTGATATAAATCTTATTCTTGTTTGTGTTTCAAAGCATCCCACTACAAGAAATCAATTTTTGAGGGACAAATTTATTTCGTCCCTTAAAAGTGTAATATTTGTTGAGAAAAACTTAAAAAAATGATTTTTAGAGACAAAATTTTGCATTTGTCACTATAAATAGACTTTTAAAGACAAAAATATATAGTTGCAAAAAGTTTTGATTTTGAGACAACCAAAATTTGTTTCTAATGGAGACAAAAAATTTAATTTTTGAGACAACAAAAATTGGTCCCCAAAAGTTTTAGTTTTTTAGACAAATGAAAGTGGTCTCTAAAAGTTTTAATTTTGGGGACAAATGAAAGTAGTGTGCAAAGGTTATAAGTTTTTTAAGAGAACTAAAATTGGTCTCTAAAAGTTTAATATTTTTTTTTTTTTTTTTTTTGCTTTTGGATTTTGTAACAATTACTCTAAAAATACTAGTTTGAACATCAACTTATATTCTTTTCTTGATTTCTTAACAACCAAACAGAAAATATCAAACATATCAGTAGACCATCTGTTCATCTCCAAATTAAAATTCAACTACACCAAAAAAAAATAAAAAAAAATACTCATCACATTCAAAGAGGCTTAATCAAAAGATATTTCAATAACAAAAAAATACCATGCTCTGATTTATTAGTATGTAATATCTTGATTGTATATCATAAACTGACAGAGTTTTCAAAAGTGTCATTTCCAATTTATAAGGCTAGTGACATAAGCATTATTTGTAGCATTCAACTATTCAACGAACAGATTATAATTAGAGTTATATCTACCTACATAACAAAACAACTCAACTCATCGCATCTTCTTCTCAAGGGCTTCGTCGAAATGGCATTCAAAATCAAGTAGAGAGCTCCCAAGCTTCAAATCGACACAAGCTTGCAAAACCTGCATAGAATAGGCCAAACTCTCAAATAGATTACCAATTAAAAATTATCCAATAATAGATTAATTTAATAAATGTGTCAATTGTAGTATCCGCAGCAATCACACATAAATCTTGGTACACAAAGCTGACCAAAATTTACTATCAATATTCAAGAGTTAAAAAAGATTAAACTAAAATCGAACCCTGTGTTAGGCACAAAAAAGCAATTACTAACAATTAATCATTTAACCACTCTTCTTACCAAAAAACAAAAAACCCCATCACTCCTACAAACTCACTATTTTTCTTTTGATATAAATCATATTCATTTATATGAGTTTAAATTTGCACTTTACATCACTGAACTGGGACGAAGTTCAGAGCTCCAACTTCTCTATTTTTTGGGGTAAATCAAAGACGCAAATTAAAGGAAGCAAAAAAAGACTTCCTTAAAAAAACAAAAACTAGCTAGGGATTTGGAATGTTGCGAGGAGCAGAGAGTGGGATATATATGAAAAAAATAAAATAAAAATAAAAATAAAAAATGGGAAAAACTGGTGACTTTATACAAAGGCATTGGACTCGAGAAAGATTGACAGAAAACCTCAAACCACACAAACAAAACAAAACAAAGGCATTAGAATGTCAAGCATAAATATTTCTTTTAATCACACCCACTAATCTCTTCTTCTTTTGTAGAAGAGGTATATGTTTTTTGAATCGAATAAAAGAAGAGGTATATGTTCTCAAGCAGAAGTTACATATATATATATTTATATATTAATATATAATACATATCTAATATTGACTTGATAAAAAGGAATTTCACTTGTATTCTATCCAATTAAAATATAGAAACAAGTTTGATAAAAGCATTTTTCACCTCTAGCTTTTGAGAAGATTAACTAGTTTAGGTTGATGTATATGGAAGAAAAAAAGAAGCAAGTACCTGACAGCATCTTCAAGATTGGTGGTTTCACAAACAACAAGTGGAGCAGGTGTCATCAAATCGCCAACAACTTTTCCATGAGTTTTGCTACACAGTCTCTGAATCTTATTAAATGTCTGCAATATTGTCCAACATCAGTAAACTAATAGTTTGTGAGGCAATCTTTCACAAAACTGATAGCTAGAGGGTTCCTTCATCAATCAACTAAACATATATTCCAAAAACAAAGCATTAAGAAACTCTTGATCGAAAATTCTAAAGCGAGAGGGAGAGAGAGAGAGAGAGAATTACAGGAATGCTTTCTGAAATTTGGATGAATTGAAATGGCTGTTTTCATAGTCTGTTTATAGGCCTTGATGCATCTAATCGAATAGTCATGTCCCTTGATCGCATCCGATCAGATCTGACTGTTTGATTGACGATCTATGGTGTAAATCATTCTCACAACGAATAGATGCCTTGACTGATCATACCTAATCACGACCAAGTGTCATCTCATACGTACAATTGCGCACATCTCCAATCAGCAGCTATGATCAAACTGTTCTAGATCGGGCACGCAACCGTTCCATCGGTTGGTTGGTTCATCGCCAACGAACTCCACATCACTGCCACACGGAGCTGACTATATTCCACGTCACCCATGCCACATCGGATCCACGTCATCGCTCCAACCTGTCCGATGCACATAGGAAAGCGCCCTAATGGCACCGATGCGTCCGTGCACCATCAAACATTACACAGTCCACTGCCCACGCCACGCGCGCGTGTGCATGTGTATGTGCATATGCGAATTTGCGGTGCGAGTGCATGTACACTAGTATCCATCCTATAATTTCATATTCAAAAGAATATTTCATGTAGCACTTTATTAAGTGCTCCATGTTTCTTCTCTTTCTGATGTGGGACAAAGTCCCCAAGCTTATTTCAAGCTTTCTAAAGAAAAACAATGAAGGTTTTAAAAACACCCAAAAACTAAACAATAATTTTTGAAAACCTATTTTGAAAATTCTCCAACACATAATGCTCTGCACATCAACAAAAAACAGAGCAATAGTACAAATTGGAATTGGATGATAACCTTTTTGTTCTTGTATGATGACCCAACTTATAACAAACAAATAATATAACTTACAACTTTTAGAGCACACTAGCATATAAATTCGGATGGTGGGGAATGGTCTTATCGCTACTACAAGGGGTAACAGAACTCCGGCGTAGCAGCAGAAAAAGAGAGAAGAAGGAGAGAAGAGGAGTGGGGTGGGGTGGGGTCGGGAAGGAAGGAGAGCGAGCCGAAGCTGGAGAAGAACTACAGTGGTGGATGTGGTGTCTTCTCTCTCTCTATCTTCGTTTCTCTTACCATACTTTTTTTTCTTCACCAAAACAATGTCGGTTTCTCTTTCCATAATATGAATCATTTGCATCTTAAAAAATAAGTTCAAAATAATCTCCACCGAAACTCACAGCAGTTACTAGTCACAACAATAACACTAGATCTGTGGTGTGAGGGACAATGCTAAAATTATTTGGGGTTTGTTATTTGTGGTTTTTTAATTGATTTACTTTTTTTTTAGTAAATTTTTTTTTTAAAAAAAATTAAGTTTCAATACTTGACAAAACGAACTAGAAAATACAAAAAAAAAATTTAAAAAAAAGTCTAGAGAAAACCAAAACAAAAATTAAAATAGTTGACTTTTTGTTTCATTCGGGAGTTTTATTTTTTTTGAAAATTTTCAAACAAAAATACTTTTAAATTTTGTTCGCACAAAATAGACTGCACAAATAAATTTTTTTGACATAATTTATAAAAGAAATCACTTAAAACAAAATAAATCAAAAAAAAAATTGTCACTTATTTAAAAATTTTCAACTAACCACTAAATTGTTAAAAACAACTCTAGATTCCATGGGATGAACAATATTTTTGACTTTTTTTTTCCTCTAGTGAAATTTTGAATTTTCATGTGTGGTTTTAGGTATTATTTCACATCATTCAACACATCAGACTTGTCACATTGTATCCCATAAAACAAACAAAACATTAGAGGGGGAATTACTTGGGGAGAAGAGAAAATAAATTATCAATATATGAGGGGTGACACTTATATCTCATAGTCTTTTATTTGCACACCATTATATACACACTTACACTTTTTATGTGTTGGTAATTTTTTTTCTCTACTCCCACCTGCATGTAGTTTCTTCAAAATTTAGATTCTACTGTATTAATCAATAAAAATAAGGGTAAATGTCTATTGAAATTTATAATTTCATAACAAAAAACTTATTTTATTGAAAAACTATTAAATCAATTATAATCTTTGATAATATCAAAAATTTATTTCAATTAATAATTCATGCAATTTTATCATTGCATAAAAAAGCGTAAGAAATTTTATTTTTTAATTAATTCTGTTAAATAAAAAGAAACTAATAATAAAATTTTTAAAATTATAAAAAATAATTCGTATTTTAAATAAATTAAAAAATATATATTTATAATTTACCTTAAAAATAAAGTTAAAGCATCACATGACCCAGAACCACAAATAATTTTCCGAATTTTCCTATTCATTGACCCCACTGTCACGTCGTTATTCATCAAACTTGCTATAACCACCCATTCGCTCTCCCTTGTATTTTTCCATAGTCCTTGCTTCTTTTTTGGTTCAACTCTTTCTCCATTGGATATTTCCAATCCCTCAAAAGAAGCTACTGGCTTTTTTTCTTCTTCTTTTTTTTTTTTTTTTTTTTTTTTTTTGGTTTTATGTTTTGCAACAAGCATGGTATGAAAACTATTGGTTTTATTTTATTTTTTACTTTATCACTTTACCATTGTCAATGTGATCTTATCTGCCTGATTTCATTTTATTTTTTTTTTAGCATTTTAAGAGCTTAATTTAAGGTATTTTTAAGAATGTAACCATGTCTATTATTCTTTGCTTTTTTTTTCCTTTCTTTATTTTATTTTATTTTTAATTTTTTTTTATTTTTACAGATTCTTCCCGGAAAGCATCTTGGTTTCTCTTTGGCTTGAAAGGTAAATTGTTTAATATCATTTTTTTTTCAAGAATACATTTTTGGTATAGTAGTATATGCAGGCCTTCTTTTTCTTCTTCTCTCTCATTTTTTTTTTCTTGGGCAAATTACATCGGTAGTCATCCATTTTGCTCATTGTGTCATTTTGGTCCATATAATTTCAATTAGTTCAATTTTGTTCGTTAATTTTTAATTTTGTGAATTTAGTCCAATTTATAACGTCCAGGTTTTTGAAGGAAAATGTTCACTAACTCTGTTAAAGTTACTGAATTGAATACGCATAACACATGTCTTTTATGTGCACATTTTCCATAAAAAAAGAAAAGAAAAAGAAAAGCCACTAACAATTTAATTAATTGGACTACATTGAGATAAAATTATAAATTTATGTCAAAAGTGACCCAATTAAAATGACAGGGATCAAAATGATACAATGACTGAAGTATAAGAACTACCATCGTAACCTTTTTTTTCTATTTATTTTAATGTATTATATGTGGATTTTATCCATCGTTATCTAAGAAGGAAAATCTTCTTAATGTATCATGATTTTAAGCCCTCTCTCATTAAAATATCAAAATCATTTCTCACACCATTCACAATCAAAATAGAAATAACTGATTTAAAGCCCTCTTTAGGCTGTGTTCGGATCATAATTCACCTACTTTTTTCCTTTTCTTTTTCCTTTCCAATGCCCTACAGAATCCATGATCTTTGACACAACCTTAACGATCAATTGTTCACTTTCACTGCTGCTTTTTGTTGTTTTATGGATTTTCTTAAACCCTAGGTGTATTTGTGTGTGATAGCCAATTCTGTTATATTTTTATAAAGTTTAACCTTAAATAATTTCATTTGAAATCCACTTACCTAACAGAAGGTACTTGAATTTTACTAAGGCCTAGACATGCTATTAACATTACATTGTGTCTGCTCTTTTTAGGAATACAATAAAATATTCCCTCCGTCCCAAGATAACTTTTTTTGGTAGTATAATTATTGCACTTTAAGAAAATTGATTTTCCAAAATTACCCTAATAGTACATTTTTTGGAGAAAATTTGTCATAATTGTACTTTTCTTGTGTTAATGAATTTGAAAGAAGGGCCAAATAGGAAATCCATATTATTTTAGTTCTTGATTTTTGAAAAGGGGCTAACATTTTGGGACAATGAAAAATAGAATAAGGGATTAATATTTTGGAACGGAGAGAGTAACAAAAAGTAGAGAACTTTGATGTTATGCCACCCATTGAATTGCGGCTCACAATAAAAATCTTCGTATTACAAATTATATTTTAACAGAGCCAAGCTTGTATGGATACCCTATCTAGTCATTATCTTAAAACATTTTTACTGTGAATTTAGGTTTTCTCACCCAATCAAGTCCTTTGATAAGTGCATAATATCTTAAATTTATGCAACTTTCCTAGCCTTGAAACTCTTACGTTGTGTTTGGTCGGGGGATTTGGTAAGAGATTTAGATAGGGAAAGGGAAAATGTAAGTGAAATGTGAATAAAATATACATACATTTCACCTAATTTCACACATCTTTTCATTTTTCCTTTCCAAATCCCTTCCCAAATCCCTCAACCAAACTGAGTGTTAGGGGTGATCATTGGCTCAACAGTAAAACATTGGCCTAATAACCTTGAGGCTATGAGTTCAAGTTTCGGGGCAACCACTTTCTGCACTATGCCAAAGGTTAGGTGTGTTTCTAATCTTTCCCCTCCCAAACACACATTAATGTGTACTATTGGACGTTGTTTTTTTATATAAATTTCTAAAGGAAAAGGGAAAAAGGTGAATGAAATGTGAATGGAATATAGCTACATTTGACACACATTTTCCCTTTCCATTTCCAAATTCCTACCCAAATCGAAGATGCAAAGAGTCTTAGGATTTGGTTGAAGATGCTCGGTCTCTCAAATTCCACCATCAATTTTTAATGCATTCTCAATTATTCTCAATACACATGAATCTCAGTACATTATCTAACAATTGGGAGTGTATTAAGATGGAGTTTTGGGACGAGAGGATTCCGGTCCCAATATTTATTTATTTTGTTTGTTTGTGTTGAGTAGACAAAGACCCTAGACCATAATGCTCTATTTGGTTCATTAGAATGAGATGGAATGGAATGGAATGGTGATTCTTTATGTTTTCATACGGAATGACCATTCTCTTAATATGGTGAAAGATGATTTTCATTTGTAGTGCATTTATCATTATTTTCTTAGTTTAACCAATTATGAGAATGAATATTTTGAAGGAATGATCATTTCATTCCACTTCATTCTAATGAACCAAATACTACCTTATTGTTTATGGTTGATCTTGATACCTAAAATATTGTAATTGGATCAAGTTGCTTATATGAGAATAATTTTCTTTCTCTTGCTTTTGTAAATCAAAATTCAAGTTGCTTTTTAACAACCATCATAATTGATATTGAAGTTATGTTCAAGATTTTTTGGTTTCAACTAATATCCTCTACAACTTCTATATTTGCAAGAACTTAAGTGACCACACCATGGAATTCTTACTTTCTATTTTTGGACCTGTGAAGAGTTTTGGGGAAGCAACTGAAAATGGATTAGATATATCAATAATCTTGATGCTAACATGACAAATCTCAAAAGAAAGATAGATGACTTGAGCAGCCAAGAGGATGATATAAATAACGAATTGAACTGTGCAGAGCAGCGGTCAAGGAAAAGGCGAAAGAAAGTAGTTGATGTTTGGCTCAGAGATGTGCAAATGTTAAAAGTTGATGTGCAAACTTTGCATACACAAGAGAAAATAGTAGGATGGATGGATGTCTTCTCACGCGCACGGTTGGGAAAGGTTGTCACGGAGAAGATTCAAGAGGTGGAAAAACTGTATGAAAATGGTTGTTTTTCTAATGGTTTGCTAATTGAAGATTCAACTAGTGGACAGTTCATACCAACAACATGATCTTTTGGTAAAACTACAAGTGCAATGAACAAGGAGAAAGTTTGGAATTGCTTGATAGATGATGAGGTTAGAAGGATTGGTGTTTTCGGAATGGGAGGAGTTGGCAAATCAAGTATCATGCATCATATTAACAATCAACTCGTGAATGAAACTTATCACTTTGATGTAGGAATGGCAATGGGGGGCAATGGGGTGGATATTAATTCCCCATCCCTATTTCCCTATAATAAATTTTTCCCATTCCCCATGTTTTAATGGGTATGGATTTTCCCCAATCCACTTTAATCCCCATTTTTATTTTTTATATTTAATGTTAACAACCACTTTTTTTTTTTTTTTTTTTTTTTTATTTTTATTTCAATTTTTTTTTTTTTTTCTTTTTTAATTTAATGTTAACAATTTTTATTTATTTATTTATTTATTTATTTATTTATTTTTTTAAGGTTCACAACAAAAGTTAAATATACCTTCAATCTTTTTTCTTTCTTTTTTAATATATTTAATGTTAACAACCTTCTTTTTTTTATTTTTATTTTTTATAAAGGTTTTAGCTAAATATACCTTCAATCTTTTTTCTTTCTTTTTTAATATATTTAATGTTAACAACTTATTTATTTATTTTTTTTTATTGTTTTAAGGTTCACAACAAAAGCTAAATATACATTCAATTTTATTTTATTTTATTTGGTTCAACAACAAAATCAAATACACATTAATTAATTAATTAAAAAGTTTGTTTTATAATAATCAAATATATAATTTTGAGACAATAAAAAAGTTTGTTTGAAGAAAGTGTTATAAGACTCATATTAAATTGCATCAGGGCATAAACAAGGAATTGTTAGCCACGGACAATTTAGACATTAAACCATCTTTCTCTTAGCAAATTTGAACAATTCATTTTAATTTATCCAAAATCTAATTATACCTTAACAAATCTGAACCACTCATTTTAAGATATCTATGCATTACCACACCCAATCCATCCTCCATCTTCTTCCTTTAGTCCCCCACGAATTTTGTTGTGAATCTTAAAAATTAAAAAAAAAATGGTTGTGAACCTTAAAAATAAAATAAAAAAAGATTAGAGGTATATTTAGCTTTGGTTGTGAATCTAAAAAAAA